TATATAAACATGATTGATTTTGAGATTGACATCAAAAAAATTTGCAACATTAAAAATCATTAAACTTTATACATTTATTAATATTGTTTTCTTTAAAAAAAATGCTGTTTAAATTGACCACTACTTGTATGATTGATTCAATAAAGGAACAAAATTAATTATTTCACAATAAAAGCTATTTATTTGTTTGTTTATTGTTTTTTTTGATTTTGGTATTTAATGCATGGTTTCTATTCATAATGCAGTCAGAACTCGTTAAACCAAAGTCAATATTTTCAAAAAAAAACTTCGATCTAAAAACCTTAATAACATTGGCTTATTGAGGTAATTTGATAGGTAGATAATAAAACAACATCATTTTATTGTGTATATTTGGTTTATCAAAGCACCGTCTTAACGAGTTTTAACTGTACGTTTATTCGTTTTATTTGTTTTTTATTCATTTTATTCATTTTATTCGTTTTATTCATTTTATTCGTTTTTTATTTGTTTTATTCGTTTTTATTTGTTTTATTCGGTTTATTCATTTTTATTCATTTCTATTTGTTTTATTCGTTTTTATTCGTTTTATTAATTAATTATTTGTTTTATTTGTTTTATTTGTTTTATTTGTTTTATTTGTTTTATTTGTTTTATTTGCTTTATTTGCTTTTATTCGAATTATTATTACTCGAATTATTTGTTTTATTCAAATAAACCTTATTTGAATAGAAACCTAACTGCAGCTCAAGATTATGATATTATTTTAGCACAAAAAGCTTTAGAAATAATTTAATTACAATATAAAAGAGTTATCATCGGTTTATTAAATTAACTAAAAAATAGGGTTAATTATAAAAGAATATCTGATAAATATTGACACTTTCAACATTTACTAATAGGCTTTTAGACAATATGATAAAAATATTAAGAATATTATTAACTTATCAGTATGTATAAGCAAAGAAAGATGGGAGCACAAAAGAATTTTAAATCATGCACAAACATGATAGCTTGATGGCTTGATTGACATAGTGGTGCAGTCTTGCAATTTTTTTATTGTATATTTTAAATATAATTAATCATACATCTTTAACAAAACAAACATGACTTAGCTATTTAATCATTTCCTTGTATGTGAATGCCTCCATCCATCAAATATTCATGATGGTCATGATTATTATGCAATACATTTGATATCATCATTGACATAACAAACAATTGCATCACCCAGGTAGTAACAATACCAAGGCCATGCATAAATGAAACTTTTAATAATGCTGTCTACCCAGATCTCTGGGATTCACAATAATAAATTATTCTTCCTGATTATCAATTATGGTTCCTTATGAATAATAAATCTGATGTTGATTGCAGGTGTCAGATTTAATTAAATTTTCCTGTCACAAACATGCAAATTAGTGCTTTTACACACCCTCATAATTGTGGAATTTTTTTCCACAGGTGAAGGCCATCCACATGCTGGAAGGCTTTGGACAAAACTTTCCCCTATCTTCCTCTCAGACCAGGCTTGGTTGTTACCATATATGGGCATTGATTGCTGATAGCTGGCATTTGTGTGATGCTTGCTTTGTGTTATCCCAATCTCTAGAATAATGTCAGTGTCTGCAACTCTGCAACTCGGGAGGTTGCAACCTGGGTCATTGTTTTGGTTTTTCCCTGGATTCAGAGTTTTGAATCCTGGATTTGCTGTGATTTTTATGAAATGAAAAGTATTAATATTTAACAATTAATTATTTAAATGTTTATTTTGTTGAAAAAAAAATATACATTGATAGTATACATTTTCTGTGCTTAACATCCATGTGGCCCTAAGTCTGGACAAAAGATCCCTTTCTATGAGTTTGGCTGGTATATCCCAAAGGTATCCCCTGTCTTGTCAGTGGCATGCCTACTCACCAACAACCCTACCCCCATTTACTAAAATAACAAATTCATTGGTCAGATAAAAATTAAAGAGAAGCAGAAATATGAAAATGATTAATTTATAACATAACAAACAAAATCCGAACCATTTTATGACTTTTTCCTTGTCAGCCATATTGCTGACAAAGATGTATATAATCATGTGATAATTTTAACCTACAGGACAGGGGATTGATTGGGCAAAAACCCATCTCAATCCTTACCCAAAATTATAAATTTGTTAGTTAATATCAGAGAAACAGAGCGTTTAGGAAAATAATTATACAAAACAAACACTATTTTACAACTTCCTCTTAACATCAGAGTCCAAATGCAATTTCAGGGCCACCAACCCTGCTCTGAATTGTGACCTCCTGTGCTTGGAACGAGTTGCAGGTTCTCATTGCTTTGATGGATCTGGATATTTACATGGCACTACAATTCATCAGCAGAGTTGCGACTTGGTCACAGTGCCATCCTTGCCCTAGAGGTAGGATCGTTGCAGACAACTTTCGGCTAGCATGCCAGCAGCCATCTCTGGTCTGGGGAGATTAGTGAAAGCGTCATTGACGATGATGCAGTCTCGGTAAACTCCAGAGCCACGCAATACCCCTGGAATTCTGCAGCATCATTGTATCATCGATCAATCAGGTCAGATTAGCCTTGTGTACATGAGGAACGAGTGAATGACTCTAAAGTGTTCAAGGTAGCGCGTGTGCGTGCTTCAACGTCTGCCAATTTCCGATAATCAAACATTGCATACTTAAAATGTCTCTTTTTCAATGGTGTGCTCCCTTGACATCTTGTGATTGTAATAATATAATAATATTATTAATATTACTACAATTACGAAAAACAAAATATTATCAATGAAAATCTTGTAATTGCCCAGCAAGATCTGCTCCGCGTTTTGATTTCCAATAATATATATTTATAAACTAAAATAAAAATATCAATCAATACAAGTAAAAAATAGTACCTCTGGTTAGTTATTAACACTTCTTCTTTAGGAGACCCAAACCAAACCGAACAACAACACTCACGTTTTGTCACTGTTGTATGTGAAATTGAAATTATGTGAAATTGAAATATTATGGAATGGGGTGAAATTCTGATTGGCTAATTTGAATTTCACATAATTTCATTTTCACGTACAACATCACCATGGACTGCCAAAAAATAAAATCAATTCGCGTCTGTCCTACCAAAAAAAAAACCAATAGGATAAATAATTAGCGTGTACGCGTCGATCATATCACAAACTTCTTAAAAATGTCTGTAGTAAACAAAAATAGAAGAAAAAGCAAAAAACTTGAAGCAGAAGAAATCTACAGGTAAGTGTTTTAAGGATGGTGGTGGTAATTATCGCCCGCCACTTGTCGTCACTCTAGTTTTGATTTAATTAAATCTCACATCCCAACTACTTGTCATTCTGCTACCTTCAGCACTACATCTAGAAAACGACCTCTTAATAATCAAGATGAACCAACAACTACAACATCCACTCTTGTTGAAACTGATGAAGAAGTTATAAAATTTGATAATCTTGGTTCAACAAACCAATTAAATATAATAGTGAAATTATTGAGACGTTCCTCGCCAGGAGTTAATCAATATTTCAATGAATTTAAAAACTTCTTCACAGATAATGAAGCTGAAGAAGATTCAAAAAAACGTATAGAAGTATTAGAGAGTGAGATGGTGAAAATGAAAAGTCGTATAGTAAATTTAAAAAAAAAATTAGCTCTAGAAATGAATATAATTGAAGCCTTGGAAGAAGAAAACCAAGAGCTTAAAGAGCAAACATTAAAATGCAATATATGTTTGGTAGAAAACATTACGCATTGTTTTGCGCCATGTCACCATTTGGTGGCATGTGAAGAATGCGCATATAAAGTAAACAAATGTGTTATATGCCGAACAAACATAGATTCTTATATAAAATTTACTTTTAAATTATATTTTAATATTATAATATAATTTTTTTATTAAAAACAAAACAATAAAAACAACGGAACTGTATATGCAGTTATATAAGCTATATATTTATTATTATTATTAAATTTCTCTACCAGTCAATTTTTCTCCTTTGGCCATCATTTCTTGAGATAATACCACCACCCCATTGTTTTCTATTTTCTTCGAATTTGTCATTGTAGCTGAGCTAACCAAATTATTAATGGCTGTCTTATCTTCATCACAGATATCCACAATAGCTAATGAAATGAAAGCAATTAATTGATGAAAGGCGAACTGCCACAGACAAGAATGACCCAAAATATGCATGCACAAATGTGTAAGATATCGCACCATTTCTTTTAGCTGCTGAAGGTCTATTAAAAGCTTTAAAAGAAGATTTGATTAGTGAATTTCTTCAACTTTCGCTAGTAAAAAAGATAAACCTTCTTTGGCAGTTAATCAAAAAAAAGAAAGATTTACTAAAACTTTTTTCAAGTTTCCACAATGCAGTTAAAGTATAATGAGTATTGAGACAATAAATGGTCAAAACAAACCTCATAGTTGAGAATGGATAAAAAACAATAAACCCGATTTGATATCTTTATTGATGATGAGAAGTGCTGAGTAACTTCGGTTAGAACAATTTTCCTGAGAACAAGTTTTATGCCACAATTTTTTCGCCTTTGTTTCTTTTCAAAATACTTCTAATGGTGGTAGACCTAATGTAAATTAGGTTCATATTAACTATTTTTATATAGGGGCAATTCTATATATCACTTAAAAAATGAGATATTATAAAATTGTTAATTATAATTATATAATCACATTACAAATGACTAAATTTTGATCCCCGAAATCCTTGGTAATACCAATGTTCACTTTGTCTGGTTTTGTTGCAGCATGCCCCATATGATATATATGTGGTGTAACGAATATCGATCATCCCGTAAAATGGAATAATATGATTGGCTCGATCTAAAGACCTCCTATTGGTGCGCCATGCGGCCAAATTTCAAAAATAGCAATTTTGTAATTCGTTCAAAAATGTAATAAAATTTTCAAAAAATAGGACTTCACGTGATTTTAGTTTTCTTACTGCCAAATTTAGATACGATAGTCAAGAGCTAG